CTATAAAACTCCTAGAGGAGAACATAGGCAAAACACTCTCCGACATAAATCACAGCAGGATCCTCTATGACCCACATCCCAGAATTTTAGAAACAAAAGCAAAAATAAACAAATGGGACCTAATGAAACTTAAAAGCTTTTGCACAACAAAGGAAACTATAAGCAAGGTGAAAAGACAGCCCTCAGATTGGGAGAAAATAGCAAACGAAGCAACAGACAGAGGATTAATCTCAAAAATATACAAGCAACTCCTCCAGCTCAACTCCAGAAAAATAAATGACCCAATCAAAAAATGGGCCAAAGAACTAAACAGACATTTCTCCAAGGAAGACATACAGATGGCTAACAAACACATGAAAAGATGCTCAACATCACTCATTATCAGAGAAATGCAAATCAAAACCACAATGAGGTACCATTACACGCCAGTCAGGATGGCTGCTATCCAAAAGTCTACAAGCAATAAATGCTGGAGAGGGTGTGGAGAAAAGGGAACCCTCTTACACTGTTGGTGGGAATGCAAATTAGTACAGCCACTATGGAAAACAGTGTGGAGATTTCTTAAAAAGCTGGAAATAGAACTGCCATATGTCCCAGCAATCCCACTTCTGGGCATACACACCGAGTAAACCAGATCTGAAAGAGACACATGCACCCTAATGTTCATCGCAGCACTGTTTATAATAGCCAGGACATGGAAGCAACCTAGATGCCCATCAGCACATGAATGGATGAGGAAGCTGTGGTACATATACACCATGGAATATTACTCAGCCATTAAAAAGAATTCATTTGAATCAGTTCTAATGAGATGGATGAAACTGGAGCCCATTATACAGAGCAAAGTAAGCCAGAAAGATAAAGACCATTACAGTATACTAACACATATATATGGAATTTAAAAAGATGGTAACGATAACCCTATATGCAAAACAGAAAAAGAGACTCAGATGTATAGAACAGACTTGTGGACTCTGGGAGAAGGCGAGGGTGGGATGTTTCAAGAGAACAGCATCGAAACATGTATATTATCTAGGGTGAAACAGATCACCAGCCCAGGTTGGGTGCATGAGACAAGTGCTCGGGCCTGGTGCACTGGGAAGACCCAGAGGGATCGGGTGGAGAGGGAGGTGGGAGGGGGGACCGGGATGGGGAATACATGTAAATCCAAGGCTAATTCATTTCAATGTATGACAAAAACCACTGCAATGATGTAATTAGCCTCCAACTAATAAAAATAAATGGAAAAAATAAAAAATAAAAAAATAAAGGCATTGGTAAAAAAAAAAAAAAAGAAGCTGTGGTACATAAATACAATGGAATATTACCAAGCCACAAAAAGGAACTCATTTGAGTCAGTTCTGATGAAATAGGTGAACCTAAAACCTATCATACAGACTGAAGTAAATCAGAAAGAGAAACGTACTCTCTGAAAAGAAAGTGAAAGTGTTAATCGCTCAGTCGTGTCCGATTCTGCGGCCCCATGGACTGTAGCCCACCAGGCTCCTCTGTCCATGGATTTCTCAAGGCAAGAATAGTGCAGCGGATTGCCATTCCCTTCTCCAGGAATTTTCCCAATCCAGGGATTGAATCCGTGTCTCTGCATTGCAGGCAGAGTCTTTATTATCTGAGCCACTGGAGAAGCCCAATATCGTCTATTAATGCATACATATGGAATCTAGAAAGATGGTACTGACTAACCTATTTGCAGGGCAGAAATGGAGATGCAGACATAGAGAACAGACCAATGGACGTGGATGGAGGGGGAAGAAGGAGAAGGTGGGACGAATGGAGTAGCATGGAAGCATATATACTACCATGGAAGCATATATACTACCATATGTAAAACAGATAGCCAATGGGAACTTTCTGTGTGACTCAGGAAATTCAAACCAAGGCTCTGTAATAACCTAGAGGGGTGGGAGAGCTTCAGAGGGAGGGGACATATGTATAGCTATGACGAAATCATGTTGATGTATGGCAGAAACCAATGCAATGTTGTAAACGAATTATCCTTCAGTTAAAAACAAATTTTAAAAAAGATCTGGTATATGTATAGATAGATGTAGAAATATATGCCATGGAATATTAGATGCCCATTAAAAAGTATGAAATTTTGCCATTTGCAACGACGTGAGTGGGCCTGGGTGGGGAGGAGTATTATGCTTAATGAAATATATCAGACAGAGAAAGACAAATACTCCATGTTATCACTTACATGTGTAGTCTAAAAAATAAAATAAATGGATGCATATAACAGAACAGAAACAGATTCACAGATATAGAGAACAAACTATTGGTTATAGGTGGGGAAGAGGGAAGGAGGGAAGTGCAAGACTGGCATAGGAGTTTAAAAGGTACAAACGACTATGTACAAAATAAATCAGCTACAAGGCTATACTGTGAGCACAGGGAATACAGACAGTACCTTATAACTTTCAAGGGAATATAATCTATAAAATTTTGAATCACTATATTGTACACCTGAAATTAATTGTAGACCAACTATACCTCAATAAAAAGAGATAAATAATAAGTTAAATAATTTAAAAAATAAAGTTACTTAAAACTCGAAGTCTCTTTTTTCCATAGGCACAAATCCTCTGAGTGAAACAAAACAACAACAATCACAAATATGTCTGGCAGGTTCAGACTGCTGGGGGAACATCCAAACTCATGACAATTAACGGCAGTCCCTAAAATACAGTTAGAAGCTACCAAGAACCTTCAGAGTCTTGTGCCTTGTTGGCATGTGCAGTACGCTAAACCCACAAACTATAAACAGTATTTCAACATGCCTCCTCTTCTTCACAAAACACTGCATCGAACAGCTTCAGAGAGAGGTATACAGTGAGAGACAGGGAGAGGAAGGGGAGAGGGGGAGATGACGGGGAGAGAATGGGGGTCACTCTCAGAATTCACCAGTGCAAGTTTTTGAGACGGAGGAACAGCTAGAACTAATTTCTAGCTGTTGAGGTTCAGCTAGAACTAATTTCTTTAGGTTTTGCAAAATTTTGACTCTCCAGTACTTCAATTCCAACTCTTAGTATTTCCCCTTAAAAATAACAAGGGGGAAAGGTGGGGAGGCCTATCAAATTAGAACTACGAAATGAACTAGAACTTAGAAAGCTCTAGAAAGTTTTCTCATAAATGGAAAATGACTCAAACCTGAGATAACTTACACACTCTAAGTAGGACATTCATTACTAGGAAAAGACTTCAAACGTGAGGTTCCAGCCATGGAGGCAAAAAATAAATGGCAATCAGGAGAACAGCAATTGAAGCAAAAAGTCAGTGATACACACTTCAGTTACTAAACAGTGAGACCTCCGGGAGATGGTGACCCTCTCCTCGAAAGCACTGACCTGCCAAAGTTTAGAGAGCAGGCAAATTCTTACTCTAACATCATACTGTTATACCCTTTCTGAAAAGCACAGAGTCATTTAAGGGAAGAGTTACGAGCCTGAGCTCTCCCATTTGCTGAACTGAACTCAACTTCAGAAGACACCACCTCATTCACAGACAGGAAGCAGGGTCAGGCTCCTAGAGTCTCTGAACAATATCTCTCTGTTCAGTTTAAGCATCCCAGAGAGGCTATTTCACTAGCATCTACTCCTGCTGCTGCTGCTAAGTCGCTTCAATCGTGTCCGACTCTGTGCAACCCCAAAAACGGCAGCCCACCAGGTTCCCCCCGTCCCTGGGATTCTCCAGGCAAGAACACTGGAGTGGGTTGCCATTTCCTTCTCCAATGCGTGAAAGTGAAAGTGAAGTCGTGTCCGACTCTTAGAGACCCCATGGACTGCAGCCTACCAGGCTCCTCCATCCATGGGATTTTCCAGGCAAGAGTACTGGGAGTGGGGTGCCATTGCCTTCTCCAATCTACCCCTGATTCTCATTCAATATCCTATCCCTGGTTGATGTTGATAAACAGGCTGATCAGGGAAACTTGACCAAGACTGCAGTTCCCTGCAGGAAATGATGAGCATTCATCGAAACACGTGGGAAAGAAAGCCCATGATCTGCACTCATGGCTCAAGAGCCTCACCCAGCGAAACCGACCTTTTACTTTATGACTTTGCCTCATTTTTGACCCAAAACTTTGTTCATATTATTAACTGAACTTGGCTTCAAATCACCTCCAGTGGTTCATTACTACGCCTTAATTTTTTTAATGCACCAAAATAGGCGAAATAATTCAAACAGCAAATACCACACCAGCCATCTCACCTGTTGCTCAACTCAACAGGTCCAACTGACAACCCTTCCTACTTGTACTTCTGACTCGACTCCCTTTCCCCTCAAGAGACAAACAGGGCAAAATAAAGATGATCGGGTGAACTTGGAGGGGAATCAGTAAAGGGACATTTTTAAGGTTTAGCTGGGTTAGACTTTCCCACATTTGAATTCTCCTAAGCAGAAGAGGTGCTGATGTAAATCTCCTTTTATCCTGGGAAGTCCTCTTAAATAAATTCAAAATTCTAAGCAACAGTTAGAAGACACGTGGCTGAGAGTGGGGCTTCGTAGGTGGCACTAGTGGTAAAGAACCCACCTGCCCATACAGGAGATGGAAGAGACACAGGTTCGATCCTGGGGTTGGGAAGATCCCCTGGAGGAGGCAACCCACTCCAGGATTCTTGTCTGGAGAATCCCATGGACAGAGGAGCCTGGCGGGCGACAATCTATAGCGCCGTACAGAGTCGGACATGACTGAAGCAACTGACCACGCACACATGTGGCTGAGATGTTTATGCGTGAATCCATCCCCTCGTCTGCCTGCTCTTGTGACCGCACAGAACAGAACTCACAGTGAGGCTGCCTCTCAGGCTCCCCAAAGATTGTGAAGGTGGGAGAGGTGGCCAAAGGTCAGACTGGCAGCTGAACAGCCGCCCCTCCCCGGAGTCCTGCTTGGGTTCACGGGACGCCTCCAGCTCTGCGCTGTCTCAGCCTCTCCCGACAGGTTTGGCTTTTCTCTCACACACAAAGAATGCTGAAACACTCACCCAGAGAGGACCAGGAAGGAGCCTGCCAGATGTCGTTCAGCTGCCAATAAAGCGCTCCCATGGTGTGCCCTTTTCCACTCACTATCTCGTTGCGACTGCGACGGTAGAATTCAGTTTCTGTTTTGACACACTGGGCCTGCATCACCTGATTCGGGGGAAAACGGTAAAACACGGGTGTTTTCAAATGAACTTATTTATGAAACAGAACAGACTCACAGATACAGAGAACCGACCTGTGGCTGCCGGGCGCGGGGGTGGGTTGAACTGGCAGTTTGGAATTCGTAGATGCAAACCATTACATTTAGAATGGAGTTAAAAACGAAAAGGTCCTGCTGGAGAGCACGGGGCGCTTCCCTGGTTGCTCAGACAGTTAAAGAACCTGCTGGCAATGCAGGAGACCCAAGTGCAATCCCTGGGTCATGAAGATCTGCTGGAGAAGGGAACAGCTGCCCACTCCAGTATTCTTGCCTGGAGAATTCCAAGGACAGAGGAGCCCGGCAGGCTACTGTCCAATAGGGTCGCAAAGAGTCAGACACGACTGAGCAACTAACAACAGTAACAATAGCACAGGGAACTATATTCAATATCCTGTGATAAACCATAACAGAAACTATGAAAAAGAACATATATAACTGAATGACTTTGCTATACACCAGATACCCACAGCATTGTAAATCAACTATAACTCGATTTTTTTTAAAAAATTATTCAAAAAAGGAGAAGCTTAATCCATTGCAAGATAAAAACAAAATGTACACAGGTGTGTTTGTTTGAGGTAGGCTGTCTAGATCTGAGAAAATAAGAGGCTTGAAAAAATTGGGGCATTTAATTAGCACTCTATATACCATTATTATACTAGATCTGGGACCAACCCTATGAGAAGCTCTTATTTATAATGGCTAGGTCTGGGGGGAAGCATGGTGTTTGGTTTATCATAACAATGGGTAATCATGGAAATAGGATGGTGTAAAAGTTCTTTGCTACTGATAGTGGGGGCAGTGACAGAAAACAAAGACCACAGAGCAAATGCTTTATGTAGTCAGATACTAAATTTTGGGCAGTGAGCAGTTTTACTAACACGTCTGTGGCTATTGGGAAAGGCTAGCCACTCCAGTTTTCTGGCCTATAGAATTCCATGGATTGTATAGTCCATGGAGTCACAAAGTCAGGCACAACTGAGCAACTTTCACTTTGTGACTATTAAGAAAATACCTTATTAAAAAAAAATCTGTAGGAAAAAAACTTTATTATGAATGATATTGTCAAATTCCTAACCCCTTTTTTTCTAGTCAAGCAATTGATAATGTAAAACTTATGAGTTCAATTCCTTCATCATAGCAGAACAGATGGTAATACTGCAACAAAGAGACAAGTAAATTTAGTTCTTGTTTAAGAGACACAAAAGAGCTTCATACAGAACCCTTAATTACTGTCGTCATCACTGAAAACCCAGTCTCCTTCACTGCTGCTGTCACTGACACTGCAAGCATCACATCTCTTAGCTTGGAGCTGTAGTTCAGAAAGGCCCACAAAGAGAAGGTCAGCGGCCTCATAGGAGAGGTCACCAAGGAAAGCCTGGAGAGAGAGAGCTTCAAGGAAAAGGACAGTCTTAAAGTGGGGCCTGGCATTTCACAGAAGGGGAAAAAGGGGGACGCACATATGGCCACTGGAAGACTAAGCTCAGAGGCCTTCCTAAAGAGAAAAGCTCCAGTGAGGCTAACACCTTTAGACAGAGGAGGGCTGGCTAGGGAGGAAGTCACAGATGAAGTCAGAACTTACATGAGGCAGAACTGTAACACTCCAGAACAGTAAAGCAAAGAGAAACCATGGCCATTCAATAAATATTTAGTAAGTACCTACATCACATGTTACATGCTGCTAATGGTAAGCCACTCTCCCAGCAAAAAAGAAACAGCCCATCCTCCCAGAGCTTACTGACTTGTACAGAAGACAGGCCTTACCCAAAGAATCACACAACTATATGGAAACTCTGAACAGTCATGAAGGCTAAGAGAGAGCTACACGATGTTAGGAGCCTGAACAGCAGGGGAGATGGGTCTAGCTGAGCAGTGGAATTGGCCTCAAAGTAGAAAGAAAAAGAAACGGGGAAGAATTCTGCAGCCAGAGGGGACATGCATGATGAAAGGAGAACACATAGCAAAGAACTGGAAGAAGGCAAGGCAGTCTGAGCCCAGAGAGCTGGGAGCAATAGAAGCAAGCCTGATGGGGTGCAGTCCCCAGACCTGGGAAGGTTTGGAATGCATCCTAAAGGCAACTGGAAGTCACAGAAAGCTTTTAAGCTAAAGGGTGAAGTGATCAGACCTGCATTTCCAACAGGCGACTCTGATCACTGAAAGCAGTGAAGAGATTAGAGTGGATTTAGGGAGATCATTTAGAAATCTATTACCAGCTTCTAGGCAAGAGATGATGCTAGCTGTGAGCAGATAAAGAAATGCCTTTCCCATTCAGGAAGCAGACCATTGGGACCACAGCAATGACAACAGGCAAATAACACTCCAAAGAAAGTAAGAATCTCACAAAGAGAAGGGGGAGGGTGCCAGCTCAAAAGGACCACAGGATACTACCTGAATCTATCAGTCTATCACTAAGTCAAGGAGTGAAATAGAAAAATAGGCTGAGGAACTATGATCTATGACAGTCAAGTTAATCTGCAATTATGAGCTAGGCTGGGACCTAGGACCCTTTAACGGAGTACTGGCACCTGCACAAATGTCTTCTCAAGCAACAGAATACAAAGAAACAACAAGGGACTAAAACCTACGTCAGGCACGCACAGTTGGAGCCAATTATGAACAATAAGATACGAAAGGGCCACAAACCAACCATTCATTTCTGAGATGCTGGGAGCAAAAGCAGGGTACCACACATGACCTCTGCACACAGCACCACCACAGGGGTGGGCAGACCACCTAAAACTATGCCTCCCGCCCAACTCACCAATCATCTCCATCCTCACCCACATTTTAGGAGCCAGGGAACCTGTTACTTGTTTTCCCTCCCTCATGCTGCAGCACAAATCCCAACAAAGCCTTGCCTGAATTCTCATCCGACCTCATCAATTTCTATTGATTAAAGAGTCCATACCCAGGTGAGTAACAGCTAGACTCGGGATGTCTATACAAGTTCCTTATAAAAAATAAGGATCTTATCTGAGCTAAACTAAAGAAGACAGAGAGTTATCTACATCTAGGCCTGGAAAGCTAGGCACAGGGAAATCAAGTTCCTTCATTAAATGTTCACTGTTTGTTGAGTTATCAAAATCATTGTTGCAGAAAAATGTTTATAAAGTTCTAAATTTTTAGAAAATAAAGCAGGCAAGTGAAATCTCATTGTTGCAGAAAAATTTTTAGAAAGTTCTAAGTTTTTAGAAAATAAAGCAGGCAAATGAGATCTCAGTAGAAACAGGGCAGCAGCAGTTAGAAGCCATGCCCATTGCAGATCCCACATCATCACATCAGTATGGAAAGCAGTCTTGGTATTGTTTAAATTTGATAATATCTTACTTGGACCCCCAAATAATGTCCCCACCAACCAAGCGAAAATTGGCCCCTGGGCACAAAATCAAGCCAGTCCCTGCCCTGCAGAATGCACACCCAAGGCTTCTTGTTCTCCTCCTGAGATTCCTGAGAAATCATCAAAGGCTTTATGGACTGTGTGTGAAGGGGTCACGGGAAGAGATAAGGAAGCCTTCATCACACCAAACAGCAACACGTAGAAAGAGGCAGTCTGGTCACCGGACATCCAGAAGTGCTGGCCTAGCCCCAACAGGCTGAGCAGGAGCATCTAATGGCAACCACCATGGACGCTCTGCTTTGGGTGCTGGCCCACAGTTCTGGAATTCCCAGGACCTGAAGTATCGTCAAAGTTTGGGCCATTCCTGGTACACCAAGGGAGCCAAAGAACCTGCAATACTCTGCTATGGGACTTCATTCCGCGTGGACTCGTGAGCAGAAGGGAAGGAGAGGTGTCACTCAAGAAGTTTGGGATCAGAATCGCTTTCCTTGCATCCAGGTTTATAAAACAGGGTGAATAGGAGAAAAGTGAAAAACAGAACTTTGAGGTGGGAAACAAAACATCAGTGTGTACCAGAGTAGGAAATTAATTCATCTCTTTCTGGCAAAACTACAAGCTTTGAAGACAAAGCCATACTCATTGAAACAGTCATGCTCATGCTTAGTTGGATCTAACCCAAGGGACGATTAGATGCTTTACTGAAGGCTTTGGTAGAGGTGACCTGCATTTTCTTCAAGGTGAATTTAAGCTTCTTTTTTGGGGGGGAAAAAATGCAAACAGCAACAATTTCTTTTCTTTACAACAATCCAAATTCCTTCCTGATCTTTGTTAATATGTATTGTAACTCATCATATTGTAACATAATGTAACAAATATTGTAATATTTTGGCCATCTGACATGAAGAACTGACTCATTGGAAAAGACCCTGATGCTAGGAAAGGCTGAAGGTGGGAGAAGGAGACGACAGAGGATGAGATGGTTGGATGGCATCACTGACTTGATGGACATGAGTTTGAGTAAGCTCTGGGAGTTAGTTATGGACAGGGAAGCCTGGCATGCTGCAGTCCATGGGGTTGCAAAGAGTCTGACATGACTGGCAACTGAACTGATTATAACGCGTATGCATTTATAGTTTTGTATTCTACTCAGTTAATTTTCACCTACGTACACTTCCATGAGAGGCATTGGCATTTTCTATATATCTCTGTGCTTTAAAGGGTTATATAGTTATAGCTTGAGGAATCATTTTCCAGCGATTATTAGGCATTTGAATGGTTTGCAGCTTTTTCTTTAAATATAAGGATTAAGAACATTTTATGTTCAAATTAATCTCTTTGCTTCTTGTGTTGTCTCTCTTGTCAATATATGACAACATAGTCATACGTCAATATATGACAAAATAATACGACCATACAATGTCAATATGATGTGTCAATATACGACACATTTTATTTATTTTATTTATTTATTTATTTTATACGACACATTTTAAAGGCCTGGTTGCATGTTGCTCTATTATGTTCCAAATGAGAGATTGCCATAAACTGGTAGCCTGCAGGCAGGGCTCAGCCCACACAGGTTTTAACTGGCTCACAGAGCAGGTACTTCTT